GCTGAGCACAGCTAAAGCTGTGGTGGCTTGGATGTCGAGGCGATACAGCGACAATATCCATACATCATGCAACTCACTGATATTCAGACCAAAGCTATTCAAGCTTTACTTAATAATAGTGTTGTCACCACTGTTGACTATTATAGAAGAGTAGGTGTTATACCCCAAAGCTCGTGATATCACTGCAACACATATCGGCAGTAATGAAGCCGAAAACATCAGAAATGCAGAGCTCCGAGCGCTTTCTGCCAGTCTTTGTAACAAAGCTTTCTATTGGTCGGTAAACTTTCTATCGCGCAACCACATGACATACACGATTATGAATGGTATTACCGCACGGTGTTGTAGAGGGAGGAATGTCCGAACGGAACAACACCGTGCAGGCGGACGATGCAGCCATTGCTCTGCATCGTGTTCAGTATGGTATCCATAGCAATGTATACAATGCATTGCGCAATGACTGTAGTGATTTATACACAAATGTTATATATTGATATAATAGATTAAAGTTCTACAGCCGTTGCTCTGCATCGTGTTCAGTATGGTATCCATAGCAATGTATACAATGCATGTAAAAAAATGCATTGCGCAATGACTGTAGTGATTTATACACAAGTGCCCTATATATTGAACATATTAGGTAATTCCCTAAGATGCTTGTAGATTAGCTTTTATTGAGTATCTCCTGTGAATTTGTATTATCTACGGGCATTAAAGCAGGGTAAAATACACAGTTGTATTTATGAACTTGTCTTCAATGTGACAATGTTGAAATTGTTTATACAGAAAGAATCTGTTGTAGCACTATGATTAACACTACTACTATTGAGGTATACTCAGCTGTTAATCTGAAATGTTCAAATTTCAGTCTTAATATCCTAATGTAATTACTACCTTATACTAAAATATGTTTGCATATTTAGAGAAGTCACAAATTCTCTATTCCGGTCCAGTTAGAAATATACTACGAATATTTACATTGAGATATAATTTTTGGTACATGTTGGTTGTTGGATATTTCAGGTTCAGCGTCCTGTACTTTTAGTAATTTGGACTTCCCAGATTGCGTAAAAATGGATGTTTTAGTAATTTTGACAGACAAAATGCCTGATGGCAACAGACTTACAGAAGATGGACGAGCGGAGATTATTCTAAAAGTCTACAAATAACCAGCCTGATGCACTCAACTTAAGGCCACACTGATTTAATTTTATGGATGACATCCTCTGGCGAAAATAATGAAAAAAAACGGTTGTTACCAACCCAACCTGATTTCATTTCGGTAAAATAGGGTAACTCGCAAAAGATGCAACTGTAGCTCCATGGTTTCGCGTTAACACCACGACGAACGAAATAATCGACAGCGAAACCAAGTGAGCTACAGAACTGCAGCTAGGTTCAACACGGTTTCGTTCAACACAATGGCAACAGCAGACTGCAACCTGTGCGGCCGATCCACACAACCACAACTTTCGGAAAAGACTTCTGCCAGTCACTAAATTCTACACAAACATGATTTCGTCTGTCACAAGAGTTCCACAACATCCATAATCACTTTAGTTCAGTCTTTGGAAGGAATTCAGTCGATTTAACAAGAGAATCGACCTGTCCATACAGACGGAAACAATTCGACTGACCTACACAGGGACGCACAGACTTATTCATAAACAAAGTTATTTCAACACCATACTATAGATGGTGCTCTCACTATAGGCCGCCACAGTAGAGTTTTGGGGGTCTAATTTGCATAATTTTTCTACACTCATCAAGGCATCCACACACCAAAAATCGAGTCAAACAGTTCAGCGGTTCTTGAGAAGAAGTCGTGCACAGACAGATAGATGGATGACAGATGCAGGACAGAAACCCATCCCATAAGCTCAGCGGACCTATGGTCCGTTGAGCCAAAAAACAAGAAGTCTTTATTTGTAGGAGGCACATGTTGATGATGTACACATCTCGTACTGTGTTACTGTCACAGGTATAACCATTTCAGACAAGCTCTAGTACATGTAGTCATGATGAAGTACCTTCAGTCAGAAACACTGCATTCATGGTACAGCATGAACACCATTTTAAAAAAAAAAAAAAAAAAAAAAAAACAAGCCATGCATGGCACAGTCCCCATTAGTTATCAAATTTAAGATATATAGTTTTGGTTATAGCAATATAGCTGAAATATAACCATGTCAGGAATATGCTTTTTTAACATTAAAATGATTGACATTTATATCTGATCGGCTGATACCCCGCCCTGGGCGATCTCATGGAGGATTCGATTTTTTTTTACAAAAATGTTGACCAAAAGATCGCCCAGGCGATCTTTTGGCAGATATTACGAGGCCCATCTTGTCTGGAAAAATACCCCTGCGTTGATAAAAATTGTCTAGAAAAAATAATGTTTCGCGTTGACCAAATAAAATCATGCAAAGTATAAATTCAAAGTGTTTTAATACATTGGTGAGAGGTCGCATTTTACGTGAACAAGAACATGCACTAAGAAGGAAAAGCAAGTCAAAGTCGAAACTGAGTGCATCATGGACATGGCACAACACGCGCTGCGACAACTGAGTGATCAGAGACATCATTTTGGGACGCAATTGAACTTCAAGTTCTTTGCAAAACTTGCTGCGCGGCGATGCTGGCATCAAGTGTGTGTTGACCGAAGTTTGACCCCAAGTCACGCGCTGAACTGGCGCGTTACCTTAGCAACCTTTTTCTTTTGTGGTCCGCGCGTCGATCTAGTAAAATTGTTATTATATCCGACGGTACAGCAATTACGCAACTTGTATGCAACTCTGTACTGGCTTTGAATACTAGTATATCAACATCGTTTACTTCAAGTTAGTGCGCTGCTTTTCTAATTACGCAAATTTGTTTACAATATTGTACCAGCTCTGAATATTTCAACTTTGTAATGTATTGCTTTCATGATAATTACGCAAACTCAAGTTAATTTTTACTATTGTTATGATGCTGACCCGGGGTATTGGGTCTGTGAATATTTCAATATTACCGACTTGATAATGCGTTACATTCGTAATAATTACGCAAACATAAACATGGGCGCATTTAAATCATTAAAAATGATAGTAGTCGGGTATCTACGGAAAGTCGAGAAAATATTTTAAATACTTGTGATTCATCGATGTTCCAATGGTGATTTTTTTATTTGAAATGAAGTGAACATGTAATATAAACCATACCATGCGTCAATTTAAATTTTACTATATTATAACAAACTCTGGACAACGCACTTCGATCGCAATATTCACGTACTTTTCGACTGAACTAAAATAACTACGTGCGGCATTGGGCAATGACCTCCAGAGTTCACGCACTGATATTTAAATTCGGGCCATCCAGCTTGACGCAAATCAATATAGTTACTTGTCATTTGTTCAAAAAATCTTTCAACTCTCACAAAAACCATGGACGCGAAGAGTTAACTGAAAGGAAATGA